TAGTTTTTGGAAACCAGATTCTAACTGTTGAAAATCTCCAGTTAAAATTGCATTTCTTAATTAACAATATTAGTTTTTGGAAACCAGATTCTAACTGTTGAAAATCTCCAGTTAAAATTGCATTTCTTAATTAACAATATTAGTTTTTGGAAACCAGATTCTAACTGTTGAAAATCTCCAGTTAAAATTGCATTTCTTAATGAACAATACTAGGAGTTTTTTTTTTAAGCAAAGACATCCAGAAACTTAGTTGATGTATCATTTTAGGTTAAATGTAATACTAATTCTTTGAACATGAAAAACACTTCTTTGGTCAAAATCAAGGAGCTGTTCCAATTTTTGTCTTCATCTTTGAAATAAATGTCCATCTCTTCTGGAATCACAGTATCCTTGCTAAATAAAGCATTTCATTCACCTATAGACGTGTATATATTAATGTACTTAATAATTAACACCCTAGGAAAAATACCATTTTATAATAAACGTACAAAGAAAGGATTTTCGACACGTTTATTGTGGAGAAATAAAAACCAAAAAACCCGGATATCACCAAAATTATGAATGTTAGTAAGAGTAGAGTCACAAATACTGGCAGTGCGAGAATAGGAAGAGTTGGCTTTTCAGCTGGCAAGGCATTTGTTGTATTAGTCATGTATCCTAAAGACCACCCAAGATCCATCTTTCCAACCTATAAGAAGGTAAAAAAAAAATAATGTATTTAATTTTTAATCACTTCACAATACATTTCTTTTATTAAACCTTCCTAAAACATTAGCCATTCATTTAATTGAAAAAGAGGCTGAAGAGAAAAAGAAAATTACCAGAAGGTGGAGATAGTGAAAGAAAATTAAACCACAAAGCTAAAGTGTCCAAAATAAACATATAAAACTGTGTGTAATAAGGAAATGTAACTTCAGGAAGATCTGTTAGAAACAAATTAAACTGATTAGTGAAATTTTTATCTGGGTAAGACATATTGCAGGTCTCTTTCTGGATGGTCCTGGTGTACCAAAATGATCCATATTCTTTTGTTTTTCATTGTCATAAGTAGAAAGGATAGCTCCTACTTTATAAATGCTAAATCCCCAATCTGAACACATGTTTATGATTTGAGTACATGAATATTTTGAATAGGAAAGGACCATTACATACCATTCACAAAAAGTGATAAATTTTCAAAGGCATCACATTACCTACAAAACATTTCAAATTGTAGTTCTGAAACATGTCATTCCAATGAGACTTTATATTGGCTGTGGTTTCACATAAATTTCCTATTTGCATATTCTAAGTCCTGTAATATAATACACTCAATCTTCTGTAATTATTACACAAAGATTTATGAATTAATAGTTATCAAATTTTGCAGAAAACAAGGTTAAAAATTTCAATCCCTAATAAGCAAACTCAACTTTAACTTCCAATTTTTTTCAGTCCTTACGAGACAAGATGGCCACATTCTTTCCAACAATTTTATTCTGACCTTAGACGAAGGATTACAGGTTTTCATGACACTGACATTCTAACTTTTGGATAATTCCATTTATGTTTAATACAATATTGTCGTAGCTGTCCGATAGTTTCATTACCTATACAGTAAAACAGTCTTGATCTGTATAACCCTGGAGTACTTTAACAGCAAGATTCTTAAACTAGTATAATTTTATGGAGAACAATCACCATGTCGGATATCTCATTGATCAAGTATATAACACAAATACAACAGGTGGCATCTTGAAAGTTTCAGGATAAAAATAAAAATTGGGAACATTTTTCTGAACTTCCGATCCAATTTCTAAAATTTTTTTTTCCCAATTTAGGATCATTTTATAAAAGGTTTATAGCAAAAAGAGAAACTTACCTGCTTTTTGAAGATGATGTTGCTCCAAGTTGTTGAGGTAAATCCATAACTAGTGGTAAGTATGTAGTGCACAAAGTGTCCTTCAAAACAGTAAAGTTCAAGGTAACTTGAATTCAAATCTTTCACCTATAAATTCAGACAGACGGTTACAGATTATAAAGATGCAAGTAAATGAGAAAATACTTCGAAGCAAATGTCATGACAATTCTAGAACTGCAGTAATATGACAGGCAGGCAGGTTTCCCGCAAGAAACAAGAACAAAATAAAAGCAAACTGTGTCGAACAATAATTATAATTTCTTTTCAGGCACATTGTTTTTTACTCTTAATGTGTTGAACAAGTTTGTAAAATGCCGCCAAAACTTGATCGGTGGCTAGAAGAGTACATGATAATTCTTTACAAAAGGAAGCATCTTTATAGTGATGATATTAAACGATGTAGAGTCAAAAGACAATATTTCAATATCTATACTGTGTATGGGTGTGTAATTTAAAGAGGAGAAACTTACACAAGAGAAGAACTTAGGATGACAAATAATTAAAAACCAGACCTCAAACTAGTCAGATCCATTCCTATAATTCACAAAAAAAAGACTTATTATGAAAGAGAACACTTGAACCCTAAATCAATTGCTATGAAGCTGGGCACATTACCGGGTAACAAAATAACAGACAAGGATTTGAAGATGTCGAAAAATTACAAGATTCGAACCACGCCTCGAAATCATCATGATCAGTTTTTATAAGAAAGGCAAGCAGAAGAAACCGAATCATAGCAATCCTGTTCAACCACATACCTGTTACGTCCTTTGAACCTTGAACTCCGATGAACTTTTATATTCAGAAACTGATTTAGTGTGTACTTGGAAGTCACAAAACTAAGGCATTAAACAGTTTAAGAAAAGCTGCACAGGTAAACCAGATACAGCATAATCGCCAAAAAAAAAACTGTAGTCTTTAATGCTATTATACCATTTCTAACAATACACAAGTTACCAGATGTATGGCCTTGTTTCAGGAAAGTATTTAGTTGTATTTCAAGGAAAACAGGAGGAGATTTAATTACACTTACTTCAGAATTTCAAGAAAAACAACTTTAAAAAAAAGTCAGATTTCCAGAACGATAGAATTAGTAGAATGATGTTTGATGCTTTTAAACAGTTGGTTAAGCTATTAATGTTTATAAATGTTTCCATCATTTTGTGTCCTCCATTCTTTCCAACATTTCATACATATCAACTGTGAACAAAGTAATCAATTTTTAACATTTCACTCCTATTGAAACATCTATCTTTAGCAGACATTACGTATAATTGAAAAAATAAATAAATAAAAAATAAAGTTTTGATGCAGTTGTATGGAGAAAATGTTCTAAGGAAACCATAAGTGTCTCTAAAACTTCAAAATTTACCCCTAAAATAATTGAAAACACTTAAATTTTTGTCCAGAGATGCTTAAAAGCCTGTGATTTTTATTTGCAACCTTTTGTGATAAATGTTTTAAAGTTTACATAATATACGAGGCGTCCCTTTGAAAGAAACAAATAAAAATAAACACTTATTTTACTACTTAACTGTTTCCCTCTGAATCCTAGTCTTCAGCTTTAGTTAACATTAAATACTAAACACACAGTAAAAAGATATGGAACTAGGAGTATTCATTTCTAAAGTTTACTAATGGTGAAGCTTAAGACAAGGATTTACAAGAAAACGTGGCTTAAAATAGAACGTGCATAATATATAGCTAGAAAACACTAGCTAACAAAACAGAAACATGCTTTTTACATATACATACATATATTAGTTTCTTGGTAAAAGACGTACAAAACATAAAAAATCTACAAAATATTAACTTTTTTTTTAGGAATATCTCCTTTTTTGACAACTTTTTCAGGAATTTTAGACACTTTAAATCTTGAAATCAATAATAAAAAAATGCACATATAAACACACACACACACACACAGTTATACCTCTTTCCATGGCTTCTCACAGAATCTGTCGATGTTTTGTTTGAAGTCTTCTAGTGTGCCATTTGTAGCATTGAAGAAATTCAAGGTGTAGAAAAAGTCCGAGAAAGCCTGTGAAATAATATTGACATGTACAGTACACCACACAAAATGGCACATTTCCTTTAGTCATCAAAACTTTGTAATCCTACTTTATAGCTCTTATCATTCAAGCAACAAAAACAACTATAAATAGCCTTGAATCCAATCAAATCAGGATTACCGTACAATTATTATTTTTTTTTTATAAAACTTAAATATAACTTACTTAGATATCACAAAAATTCCATCTAGAATAAGTACTAGAAAATGAATATACAAAATATTGTACATTAAATTTTAAAACCATCATTATTAAAATCATGTTTCATGTACTTTTTTTTTTGTGAACCTGTAAATTAAAATTTCCAAGCTTTTGATTTAAATATGTAAAAAAAAAGAAAGTTATGAAGTTATACCAGTTTAAACTGATTAAAATTATATATATTATTCATACACACACAGTTTTTTTTTAAATTAATAAATAACGTATATTTAAAAAAAAAGTAATTATGTGATCTGCACAGCTTTTCCTAAACACCTCTGGTTATCTACTAGCCTTAGTGACTGTTGGTTTATTATTTAATGAGAATACCTAAAAATCAATAACCACAGCTTTACCATAAAAGAAATCTAACATTTTCACAGAGTAAATTTAGGTTGGTTCCAAAAAAAACTTACAATAAACTGTGCCATTGGAAGGGGCTTCTCTGGTGCCTCGAGACACTCCTTAAAGGTGTTTTTACAGCTTTTTACATCAAAAAGTTTGCTAACAGTTATGGCACACTCTGTATTGTTGTTTTGTCCAACAAATGTATAGTTTTCATTCTGAAAGCAGCAAGAGAATGAAAAAGACAAGTCCTAAAACCAACTGCAAGAAGCCGTGCTAAGGTTTTTCAACATTAACACAATCAAATTAATTCTTATTTCTCCCAATAAGGAAATAAGACTATATTTACATGTAAAACGAAATGTTTCTTTCAATCCACGAACATGACGGCAAAAAAATCTTCAGATATTTCATATATATTAAAGCAAGCCATTTACTTAAAGCAGCAACTATAAATAAAAAAAACTAATGTGGTTATGATTTAATGAATCTGTTTACAAATTTTACAGAATTACTTACTATAGAGCACACATTAAGCACACTAATTTAATATTTCCATCAGATTCCTAGATTTAAAAAAGGATCACCGAAATAAAGAAAAAACTGGAATTACTAAAACCTTCTCAATATGAATCTATATCAAGAACTATGATCTTGATGCCAACAAAACACTTTCAATGATAAATACTACCGACTTTCAAGTTAACATTCTGACAAAGATCAGTTGATATAAATAGACCAATTATAAATTGAAGACATATTTTTCTTGCACTCTTCTTCTCATCATAAAACTAATTGCATAATTTTTGAAGACGAGCAAGTGTCTTTACCTCAACAAATTACTACACTAAATAACGAGACACAAATCATAGGATACTATCGTTCTGCATAATGAGACTGACCTAACAATACAGAACACCTGATACTACCAACTAAACAACACAGAAGTTGCCAAGATACTGAAAATGACAGGAATGAGAATTAAGTAATGAAAAACTAACAAAAGTAATAGAACTGAATTAGTTAAAACCATCAGTGGCATAATGATAGGTGGGGCAGCTAACCTCCAGGGCCTCTCAAAATCGGACAATTCAAATTCAGAATACTGAAAATGAGAATAAAATATTCTGAAACATGGAGAAAGTGGCTTTCCCATAAAGGACGAGTAAAATAGATATTGATATCTAAAATATCTACTGTAGGATATTTATATCTTAGTACATTGTTTATATAGGTTTAGAACCGATACGGATATAGAAAAATAAAAGGTAAATCAATATCAAAGGAAATGCTATGTTATAGCCACGATAGCATTGTTTTTTGTTTTTTTTTAAGTAATAAATTATCAAAATACGACAACATTATCTGTCAACACAATATACATTAAAGTAGCAAAGCTACAATAATTCATCAGTGTAACTACGTTCTTCCAGGAGTGGATAGTAAAGACCGAAACAATAGTGATTTTGAACTGGATTTCGTTGTGGAAGATGTTTCTAGAAACAAATTGTAATTAATGTTAACTAAACACTATAGTAGTTAACCATACCAAGATACTGGGATTCAATCGGACCAATTCTGCCGAACGTTCAGTCCACGTGCAAGGTTGATCAAACAGATACATCCCACTGTATGTCTGGTTATGTCCCTTTGGTCCACATGGATTGTCAATGGTAGTTATTTTTAATGGATCCTAGAAATCAAGAATTTAACGTGACGTTCTTTCTTTTATACAAGACGTATATTGATGTAACTTGTGATTCTCACTTTCCCATCTTCAGATAACTTGTATTTACAAAACAACAATGTCGTTCTTTAAATGCTATAACTCAAGTAACTTTAAACATCAATACTTCAACATATAATTAATTGTTTATATATATTCATTATTAATTATGGTACCATTGACACTTCACAAAACCTATTTTCTTTCAGTATGCAAGTACACAATACCATGTTTCTTTCACAAACAAATGTTGGACTGAAGAGGATACCTGAAAGTGTCAAAACCTGTATCCATATAAATTTGGTGTTGCTCCGTTACTGTTTATTAAAGACTTATTTTAGATTATTTTCTTTATAGTTTTGGAACTTCTGAAGTCTGAAACATGTAACATAAGTAAACAAAGTATTTCTTTGAACCACATAGTTTGTAGGAATGCAAGTAACACAGAATTGTGAAGATTGTCTGAAATTATACTCAATAGGAAAGAGTATGGAATATGACAACTCCTTCCTGTTATACATAACAGACAGTAATGATCAAATAAAACAATTATTAGGTATAAAATAAAGCAACAATGAAATAAATAGAGAGTTAGAAGAAGCTTGATCATCGATTAATTCTTTCCATGCCATATTTACGGAGAACTCTCTCAGTGCTAGATTTAGTTTTAAATACACAAACACATATTATAGTTAAATAGTTATATTTTGCTTATCAGTTGTCATGCAAGATTACTTGTTTTAGAAACACCTGCCTGAAATACTTCACAAGTTATTATGTCACGGATAATTAGTAAATGTTGTCAGATTATAAAAAGTAATGTTTTGAGCATTTATTTTAATAAATGGAAATTAGAATAAAACATTTACGATTTTTAAAAAATTAATCGTAAAATTGATATTTTTTTTTGTATACATATTTTTCAGAACAATTACACCGGTAGTTTTTTTAGAGGGAAGAGTATCTGTTCGTAAAACCACTCAAGATGAGGGTAAATATGTGCCCATGGCAGTGCTTTAGAAGGGGATGCATGTTCATAGAAATGCTTTAGTGAGGAACACATATCTATGGAAATGCTTTAGAGGAGGCCTTCATTGCTGAAAGATATAACTATTCATGTACGACAGCTGAAGCCACGAGACGCTGGGAGCATGTGCGCTGAAGTTTCTAGAAGGATCGGGGAACCTCACGATTATCCCAGTATTTGCTAGATGCCCCTTTTTTTTTTTTTTTAGTATATAAGGCGGAGATCGATTGAAGAGAAATGATAGATAATTGAATCAAGCGAGCAGTAGGCACTGTAAGTAAAGTGCGTGAATTATAGCGAGTGTTTATAAAAGTATTTAACTTTAAAATGACTGTGGAAAATCTTTGTATTGCAAAGTTGTATCGAGAAAGAATAAAGTAGTTTTAATTAAGAAAGGACTCGTAGCACTGAAGTTTCTCGGAAAGAAGTTCTACGGAAAATTAACAAACAAGCAGATATGTAACAATAGTATAAGCAGTAAGATAAAGTATGAATATTATTACTTGAAATGTACAGTAAGGTTGTATAAATCGTAATTTAATATCGGAGGAAATATACTAAGGAGAAGGTTGGATGATGTATGATAGAAATCAAGGTTGGTTTAACATCTTATTTCTATTTATGTTTTTTTTGTTTTTTTTCTTTAAGGGATAACTATCATACCCATAACCGGCTATAGACGGTGAGGGATAGTGGGATCTGGGACATTGTGGGTTTTATCACCCAGATCCTAATTCCATTTTTTTTCAGTTACATGCTTACTAGCTCTGCACCTGCTATTTTGATTATGTCTGATAGACAGAATATCCCCACTACTTGTATTTGTCCAGGTATGTATCACCTGGGTATCATGTTCCATTTCTGACCTGGGAGCTAAAAATCCATTCAAACTAATGCTAGGAATAGTATAATTACCTGTACTTTTGTAGGCATTATGCAGATGTGGCACTGTCCGATTGGATGGATGACAGCCAATTATAATGCAAGGTATCTAAACATAGCTGAATTCTGTTGCTGCAGTTCATTTTCATATAATAATAGGGGAACAGTCCCAAAACATTTTATACCCATTTTATTCAGTTTCCAAAATTATTTCCAATACTGTATATGCACAAGCTTTTTGGAAAATTTAGTTCTGGATTAAGATAATTCATTTTCTTAAATCATATCTGTCAGTTCTTGTTTTTATAAAAAAAAACGTATAGACAAAAATAAGTTTTGTAATTAGTACTGTCATACATATTCTAGACTAAAATAATTCTTTCATGTTTTTTTAATCTTATTGGTCAGTTCTTGTTTTTCTAAAAATAAATGTATAGACAAACATAACTTGTAATTAGTACAGTGTCTCACATATTTCAACACACGAAATGCTCAAATATTATACACCACGATGAAATTGTGCGATACTATTTTTAGTACAACACATGGTCTCTGGAGTTCTAAACAATAAAACTAATCAAATGCAACACCTCTACGTTTCTACACTAAACAGTATTCTTAGTACTACCAACAGCTGAAGAGACATTTACCTTTACAAGTAGAAAATAAAACCTTCTCAAAGCTTCATTGATGCCGAAGCAGAGATAACTTTTGGAAAATACACGATAGTTGTGGCCATAAAGCTTTAAAGCACTGACACTTCTGTTTTCAGAGTCTCCCTTAGAAAGTTCAAAGGCAATCTGAGTTGATGCTCCGCCCAAGTCAAGCGTTCCAACTGTGGTAGTAGATAGATAGCTATCTTCTTCCAGGGATACTTCTTCGTAGCTCTGTTGTGCGATTTCCAAACAGTAAGGTGATATTTATTTATTTATTTTTTTTTATTTTTTTTTTTTATTGAATTTTATAACCATCAATTATAAACAAATAAAAAATGAGTTAAGACATTTCTAGCCTCCAGGGTAAACAATTACTTAATGGTTCAGAACGTTCCCCCTTCTAATATTTATGTATTACGTAAATTATACACAGCTTATATAAGGGGAAATAAGTAATCCAATAGATTCCATACGGAATCAAAAAAAGTTGCACAAATCATATGTCAGCTTTCCAAATTTTATACAGGGTTTCTAAATTCCAAATTACTATACTTATTACAGCAAGATTACGGAGATCTCACGTACACAAATGAAACCATTAAACACACAAATCCTTAAAAAAAATGCACAAAAGCAACACATGAACTATTTTAATAATAATAAACAACTTTAAAATCTTTTTTTAACATTCAATACAGTCTTTTTATTTTCCATCTAACTTTTACAAAGTTACATGCAGACCGTTATACAGAAGTAGCTTACGTAAAAATAAGGTGTTAAGTACACAAACGACATACATGCAACTACATTATTATTGTACATGATCTTTAACCTCAAAATTACCAATTTGGTCCACATATAAACAATATGGACCCTCTCTCCAATGAATTTTTCAGCACATTTTTCTACAGGGCAAGAACTAGATGAGGGAAGCCTCAAGAAATAAAGACAAGTAATCCAAACCCCTTTTCAATTATTTAATTTCCTTACAGTAAAAAAGTGACATAATTAGATAATCATATAATCCAAACCCCCTTTTAAATTATTTAATTTCGTTACAGTAGAAAAGTTATTTTCAGGATAAGCTTTAAGACATTACAGTGCAAGCTGATGAGGTACTACATATGCCCTTCTGGTGACAAATTTACTTAAATATCATGCTTACTGGTTGAGTGACAAATCTCCGAAGAAAGAAGTTAGCTGTGATCCAAGCAAACACTCCCTCATCATGGCCGCTGATGATCTCTACAGTTTTAACACTAAAGTCTGATTGAACCAACGTACATCTTGTCAGAAGCAGGATAGCTTCAGCAAGGAGAGTATTCGACAAACTACAAGATAAGTTTCATACGTAGTTTCAAATGCAAACACTGTTACAGGAAACTTAAAATGTACTTTTAACAACACTACTTATCTATAACATCTTAATGCAAAAAATGTTTATACATGCACCACCTTTAATTGTAACATTTTTAAATGCATACAACTTAGCAACAGTCACCTTGGCAACTGTTGACACAAAACTATATCTTATCTTTATGGTTAACGGATTAGTTTTTACGAGTTTAATTCTTCAACCATCTTACGTGAAACTTACAAAATATTGCACTGTGATTAAACATTATGCCTCCATGCTAACAGCAACATTATAAGTGAAACTTACTTCAACGAGATGTACTACAAGAATTTTCCGGCATCATTAACTTAACTCTACTTCATCTCAAAAACGTTGACAAGTGATGTAGCTATTACCAATAAAAAAATCTTCAAAGAAAGCTTTTTGATTTGCAGTAGTCATGATATTTGTCAACTTATTCAGAAGAATGTTACATTCCTTTAAGAGAAACAATGACAGCTATTCAAATAGTGTCACAAAATATATATATATTTTTAGAATTATTACATACTGATATTGTAAACCTCGTAGGCACATTACGCAACCCACAGACTAAAACAGCCAGGTCAGAGAACCCCAAGACTCAGATAAATCCAACACAACCCTACTCTAAAACTGTCGACCAGGTGGAGAACAATCAGTTAGCAGAATCCATTACCTATACGGACACTCTTAAACAAAAAAAGCAAGACTGAATGTCCCAGTTATTTTATTCTCCTGTTTATTTCATAACAAACAGTTATTATGGCTTGTACTGTAGTCTGGTAACCAGAGAAACAGCTTTTTTTTTAAGCCTTACTTTTTTTTTTTTTTTTAGCAGTAAATGAAATTTCATATTGGGAAAATTAAATTTAAACAGAACTATCAAACTTACTATGTATTTAAGTATTTTTGAAATACAGAATATTCCTTGGCACTAAGCATCTTTACTTCATTTATCATCATTTTTTAAGAGTACCACACTTACTTCAAGAGTCTCATTCCAGCAGTAGCTCCTACATATAGTGGTGTACCAGCTAATTTCTTGGTAGGAATGAACTGCGATACATTGGACAAGCAAGGCATTAAGGATGGACCCGCCTCTTTAGGATCGGTTTCGGATGCTACACCTCCTACCAAGTAACGGAAATAATCTGCTTAATTACCGACTCATTAATGCAGGAAAATAATTTTAGCTTTATGGTTCGAAGCATGTTGCCATATGATGTACCACCACATGTAAAGCTTGAATTGTCCTCCAAGATAATAATAGGGCCCGGCATGGCCAGGTGGTCAGGGAGCTCAACTCACAATCTGAGGGTCGTGGGTTCGAATCACAATCAACCAAACATGCTTGCCCTTTCAGCCGTAGGGGCATCATAATGTGACAGTCAATCCCACTATTCATTGGTAAAAAAGTAGCCCAAGAGGTGGCGGTGGGTGGTGATGACTAGCTGCCTTCCCTCTAGTCTTACACTGCTAAATTAAGGACGGCTAGTGCAGATAGCCCTCACGTAGCTTTGCGCGAAATTCAAAACAAACAACCAAACAATATAATAATAAAAATATTAAGTACTGGTGAAAAGTATTAAATTTCTTGTAAGAATGTTTTGAAGAATTTTTCAGTTGCCACGATGACCCTAAAAAAAATTATTTTAACTTTAATATATCATTCTAACAAGAGAAACTGTCTATGAAGAACATTCATTGAAAAAAAATATATATAATCTTTATGCAATACACTGTACTAATAAAGAGTTGATTTTATAAGCACACTGTTCATTCTAGACAAACTTCACAAGTTCATATTTAAAATGTAGAGTATATTCTAGTATCAGACAAACCTTAAGTAAAACTTTTCGTTTTAGGTAAACTTTTAAAATGTAAAACATTTTTAATACCAGACAAACCTTCATCATTAGGTTTCTGGCTTTAGAAAAACATTTAAAATGTATATTTACAGTACCAGACAAACCTACACAAGTATATTTTTGGCTTTAGACAATCCTTTAAAAAGTAAAACATATCTAGTACCAGACAAACCTTTGAAAGGTAAAGCAAGTTTCTAATACCAGACAAACCTTCATAAATAGACTTCTGACTTTAGACAAACCTAAAAAATATAATTTATACTTCTAGTACCATGCAAGCCTTCATAAGTAGATTTTGTGTTTGTAAACAAACCTTCAACTTTACAAGATGTGATTTGTTTCACTTCACCCGTCCCCTGGTACTTATCTCCCTCCCACTTGTATACGGTGATCTGCGTATGAGTTGATCCTGCATCAAACACTACACCATACTGGAAGAAAAAAAATCAAAATAATTTTCAAAAATACAACAAGCCTAATAATAATGTCTTTTGACAAACATAACTGATTATCATCATACTTGGCCAGCAAAAATTAATTAAAACTATAAAAGGAAGAACTATGTGCATCACAATGAGATATATATATATATATATATATATAGAGAGAGAGAGAGAGAGAGTGAGAGAGAGAGTGAAGAAAGAGAAATTAGACAGATAGATGGACGGACAAACATCACTTTTACACTGCGGAATAATTGTTGTAAAGAACCAGACTGATTGAGAATCTCTAATAAAAAAATAAGCTAATATATAACATACGTGAAACCTTTATTTGTGTAGACGTAATTCATTTTTTATAGCTCGGCAGTAAACACAGAACTAACAATAAGTCTAAGAAAATGTTCTACACAAAATAATGAAACAGAAATGTTACTATAAAAAGAATACGTTTGTTGTTCATAAACTTTTTTTACTTTAAACAACCACCGATTTCAACAAAGAAAACACTTTTCATGTCGTTTCATTCACGTAACCTCTGTTTATCTGTTACAACAGAACATATTTACGGAGAAACATGTACAAAACATTTATTAAAAGGTTGCTCCAAAAGAAATGGTGTAAACAAATCAAGGACAAAATCATGTTTTGTTGAATGAAGTTAATAATAATTTCTCAAAAGTCACACATTTGTGTATATGTTATATTTATAATTAGCTGGAGTACCTGTCCACTGCACAGAAGTTATGAAAATTCATGATAAACG